AAGAGAGAGAAGAAAAGGAAATGAAGGGAAGGGAGGAAGGGAGCGATGGAAGAGAGAGAAGAAAAGGAAATGAAGGGAAGGGAGGAAGGGAGCTCTGGTGGGGCAGTGGTTAGAGTGCCATATTGCAGACTTAACTGCCCACGGCCCACAGTTCCAACTCCCACCGGGCTCCACGTTGACTCAGCCTTCCGTCCTTCCGAGATCAGCCAAAGGGGGACCCAGATGGTTCCGGCCACAGGCTGTAAACTGCTTAGAGGGGGATGTAGAGCTCTGTGAAGCGGTATATATATATAAGTCTTTGTTGCTATTTCTGGGGCAGTGGTTCCCAACCTTTTTTTCGCCCCGCGCCCCTAAAGAAATTTCACTCGAACCTCGCACCCCCTGAAATAAATAATAAATAAAAATGCCAACGTATAGCCAATATCCTCTTATTTACCTGGACTTTTCTCGCACCCCCCGGGATATCGTCTCGAGCACCCCCAGGTTGGGAACCCCTGTTCTAGGGGAAGCTCTTGAGCGCCAACCAGTTTATTCTCCCTCCCCCCCCCCCGCCCTCCTTCCCCAGGAGAGTTCCGATTACTTGGACCGCGGCCAGAGCAGCAGCAGCTTCAGCCGGAAGGGGCCCAGCACCATCCAGAAGATCAAGGAAGCCCTCAACTTCATGAGGAACCAACATTTTGAGGCAGGTTTGCTCAGCAGGCGAAGGAGCCACGGCTGCTGCAGAACCATCAGAATCAAGGTGGCTTCTGGGCACGGCTGCATCTTCCCTGGGTGCCCCCTACCCACCGCCTCCCTCTCGCTCGTTAACGAAGCCCCCTCTCCCGGGCTAAAGAGGGTTCCCCCACCTCCCCACCCCAAAGAGACCTCCCCAGCTGACCCCAGACCACCCTCCCGACCGCTAATGAGCCTGTCTTACCTGGGAGCAGGTGCCCTTCATCGCCTTCTACCGGAAGGAGTACGTAGAACCCGAGCTGCACATCAATGATCTCTGGAGGGTCTGGCAGTGGGACGAGAAGGTGAGGACCGGTTTGGGGAGGGGGGGGCGTGGGGGGTGGGGGCGAGCGCTCTTTCATCAAGAGTTAACCCACCTACCAGGTCGATGGCTCTTTTGGTTGGAGGAGCAGAGCTGGGCCCAGCTGGACTAAGAAGAACGGATTCAGTCTCTCTCTGCTTCTGCCTTTTTTAAAAAAAATATTTTATTTTATTTTAATACAAACAGTCCATTTTCCATTTAAATTGTGTCGTCTGGGTACAAATACCTTGTGCAATAACAATGACCGTTTATACGTATTCATTGCTTAGTATTAATACTCTATTCTTACTTAATACTAAGATGCATAGTATATCTAATTCTTATAACGTTCCCCATCTTAACATTTTAATCTTTTTCATTCACATATTTACTATTTTTCGCTAGTTTTTAATTTCTAACTTCCATATTTATTTTCCAGCCATTGATAAAATAACTCCCGTATCATATAACGTTCATTTTGTTCCTTTAATTGATAGCATTAGCCTATTCCAGTGGTGGCTAACCTTTTTGGGCTCCTGCGCCAAAAATTGTGCGTGCATGCGTGCGTGCCAGCACCCAAAAGGCAATGCGCGTGACACCCCCTGTACACACATGCAGGATTCCCCCCTGCTTACCTGCACTGCACATGTGCACACCTCCCAGCTGATTTTCGGCCTATTTGAGGCCTTTCTTGGCCTCCCAGAGGCTTGAGGGAAGCCTCTGCAGCCTTTGTAGGCCGAAAAATGGGCCCGTTTCATCGTTTCCAGTATTTCTGGAAATACAGGAAGTGACAAAACGGGCCCATTTTTCAGCCTGCAGAGGCTTCCCTCAAGTCTCTGGGAGGCCAAGAAAGGCCTCAAATGGGCCGAAAATCAGCTGGGAGGCCCGCACCTGCGCAGTGCAGGTAAGTTTGCCTGGGGCTCGCGACCCGGCACAAATGCATTGCTGTCTGGGGAATTCTGGGAGTTGGAGTCCATCGGTCTTCCAAGGTTGGCCACCCCTGCTCTTCTCAGGGAAATGTTGGCCTATCTCAAGGAAGCCTGGTTCAGTGGCTAGAGCCCCAGGATTTAGGAGGCTGTGCCGATGCTCCCGGTGTTGGCGGCTTCCTCTCACGGTTGGGAAGGAAGAGGGGGAGAAGCACGAAGGCGCCGGGCAAACGCGATTCCTCTGCTCTCCTCCCCCAGTGGACCCAGCTGAAGATCCGCAAGCAGAACCTGACCCGCCTCTTTGAGAAGATGCAGGCCTACCAGTACGAGCAGATCTCTGCCGACCCAGACAAGCCCCTGGCGGACGGCATCCGGGCCCTGGACACCACGGATATGGAGAGGTATCCCCCCTCCCTCTCGCCTCTCCCCTCCCCGGAGGGCAGCCAGCCTCTCCTCCAAGCCTCCCTTTTCCACCCATAAAGGGGGAATATTTGTAGCTCACGGTTGACGTGAGGGGGTCCCTGGTGCTCTCTGAGCCGGGTGGTTTTCTTGCAGACGTTTCGTGACCAAACTAGGGAATGTCAGCAGTGCTAGAAGAGGAGGGTTGCAGAGAGGAGAAGGAGGAGGGGGAAGAAGAGGAAGTGGCGGGGGGAGGAGAACTGCAGGATCCTTGGTGCTCTCTGAGCTGGGTGGTTTCCTTGCAGATGTTATAAGATAAATTTATTGTCATTGTACTCAGAAACCTGAGAACAACGAAATAAGGTGCTCTTTCACAACATACAACTGAACAACACCAAAAGACATATACAAATAACAACGTAAAACAAATTAAAATAAATAACAGTGAAAAAACTGTACAACCAGGATACATATATATATATGTTAAGACCACCAGATTCATAACTCTGCATTTAACCTGATCCCAGCACTTGGGTAAAAGCTACGTTTAAATCTACTTGTCCTGGCTTTCAGCACTCTATATATCGTCTTCCTGATGGTAGGATCTCAAACAACGAGCGGCCTGGATGCGAAGGGTCTCTCAAGATCTTTTGAATCTTCCTTCTACACCCCATGTTGTACAACTCCTCCAGTGAGGGAAGAGAACATCCGCTGATCTTTTGTGCCCTTTTTAATCACTCTTTGGAGTGCCCTTTTCTCCGCCTCTGTACAACTCCTAAACCACACACAGAGGCCATAAGATAAAATGCTCTCTATAGAGCTTCGATAAAAGGCAACCAACAGACTCTCTGGCAGTGGTTATGATCTTAAAAGTCTTAAAAAATACAGTCGTTGATGAGCCTTTTTTTCTAGGGCTAAAGTATTTGCCCCCCATGTTAGATCTTGTTTCAGGGTGATGCCTAAAAACTTTCATTCTGCCACCTGTTTTGTGACCAAACTAGGGAACATAATGCTAGAAGAGAGTGGGGGTTGGTGAAGAGGAGGAGGAGGAAGAAGGAGAAGAGGAGGAGGAGGAGGACTGTAGAGTCCTTAGTGCCTTTGTTGCAGACGTTCCATCATCATCCAACTAGGGAATGTCAGCAGTGCTAGAAGGCAATGATGTTTGCAGAGGAGGAGGAGGAGGAGGAGGAGGGAGGAGAAAAGGAAGAAAGAGAGGAGGGAGGAGAACTATAGAGTCCTTGGTGCTCTCTGAGCTGGGTGGTTTTCTTGCAGACGTTTCATGACCCAACTAGGGGACATATTCCATGCTAGAAGAGAGGGGGGGTTGGGGAGGGGAAGAGGAGGAGGAAAAGTATTGTGGGGTCCTTGGTGCTCTCTGAGTCTGATGGCTTTCTTGCAAGCATTTCGTGACCCAACTAGCGAGTATCATTTCATACCTAGTGATGATGTTACCTAGTTTGGGTAGTAAAACCTCTGCAAGAAAACCGCCAATCTGGGACCCCCTCACTTTTCCCCTTCTGGGCCCAAAGCTCTCTGCAGACGAGCTCCAGGCAGCCTCCTTTTGGGGTGTCGTGTCCCCCCCGTTTCCCCGTCCCCCCCCGCCGCGTTTCTCCCTCCTGGAAGATGCTCTCTTTGCAGGCTGAAGGACGTGCAGTCCATGGACGAGCTGAAGGACGTCTACAACCATTTCCTGCTCTACTATGGCCGAGACATCCCCAAAATGCAGAACGCCGCCAAAGCCAGCCGCAAGAAACACAAGCGGGTCCGGGAGGACGGCGAGGAGGAGGAAGGTGGGCCGCAGCCTCTTAAGGGCCTTCTGAGGGGCCTTTGACCCTGGGCCAGGGGCGCCTCCTGCGCTAAAGGCCCCCGGGGTCAGGCAGATAGAATCCGTGCTGTCCAAAGGGTGGGTGGCTGGGAGGGATGGACGGAACGGTCTTTGTCCCACCCCACCGACTGCCCCACCCATCAGGCAGGGGAGATATCTGGCGGACCCTGCCCATCAAAGGATTCCGGCTGGCAGGGCCCAAGAAGGAGGCTTTCTCTGCCCTTGCCCCCCCTGCCCACCCATGGGATATTCTCCCCCTGGGGATGAGGAGGGCTCCCCCCTAAAGGCCGGCACCCAGGTTCCGACCGATGAGCCCAGCCGACGCAAGCATGACTGAGACGATCCCATTCTCTCCCACGTCGAGCTTTCTCGAGTGCATCGTTTCGGCAGAGGCAAAACCGGGCCGAACTATTTCCCACGCAAACCCACCTAATTGAAGCCTACCGCGTCCCTCCCCCGATTAGACCGGGTCACGTGGCCCGACTGAGTCTCGCGATCCCGTTACGAGGAAGTTTCGGCTCCGGCAACCCACCGTTGGAAGTGTCCTTGGTTCTCACGACGGCCTCCGTCGTTCTCCGGAGCCTCCGTTCCATTTCCCCCCACCCTGATCCTCGGCCAGCGGAGAAGTGAAAATGGTTGCGGCAGGAAAGACACGTTTTCAAAGCTTGACAGCCCGGCTCAGCGGCTTGGCTTGGGGGGGGGGGTGGGGGGGGGCAGAAGAGCACAGCTTGTGGGGTCGGTTAGTGCTCCCCCACCTGTCACCTTTTCACTACGTTTTAGCACTTTTTAATCGTTCTTGCCTCTTACTTGAAAGTTAACTTTTATGGTTTTGGTGAGGGAGACGGGTGGTTCCAAAATTAGATAGAAAGACAGATGATAGATGATAGATGATGCATGAACAGAGAGAGAAAGAGAGGATGATGAATGCATAATACATGAGTGACAGACAGTCTGAGAGATAAAGGATGGATGGATGAGAGAGGGAAGGAAGGAGAGGTCATGATCCCTCTGCCCTTGGCTTGCCTGGGGCGCTCTGTCCCTATCCTGTTCCCTTTCCCTCACCCAGGAAGTCTTCCTAGAGCGCTGATCTATCCCATGGCGGAAGGGTCTCTAACCTGACCATCCCGCTCTCTTTCCAGGCGAGGGAGAGGATGGAGAGGAGGACGAGCAGAAGGGGCCCGAGCTCAAGCAGGCCTCCCGCCGGGACATGTACACCATCTGCCAAACGGCAGGTCTAGGTAAGCCCTTACCCCCCCCTCCTCCTCCACCTTCCAGGCTACCAGTGAGTGCAGGTCTTCTCGTCCGATTGCTCCCTGGTGCTCTTCCCACCTTCCTCCCCGTCTGCCCCACAGAATAGGATAGAATATTCTTTTCTTGGGTGAGTCTGATTGGACACCCAAGGAATTTGCCTTGGTGCAAAAAGCTCTCGGTGTACATAAAAGAAAAGAGACATTCGTCAAGGGTCAAGAATCATCCGGAAATAATACTCACAGGGTGCAATAAGCCATCAAATCCTACTAGGAAACAGTCCATAGAAATCATGAGGATACAAGCGACAAAATTACAGTCGTACAGTCACAAACGGGAGGGGATGGGTGATAAGGGGTAATGAGAAGATGAACAGTAATAGTAGTGCAGACTTTGTAAATAGTTGGACTGTGTTGAGGGAATTATTTGTTGAGCAGAGTGATGGTCTTTGGGGAAAAAAACTCCCCTTATGTCTAGTTGTTCTGGGGTGCAGGGCTTCCATAGTGTCATTCTGAGGGAAGGAGTTGAAACAGTTTATGTCCGGGGTGTGAGGGGTGTGTAGATATTTTCACAGCCCTCTCTTGGGCAGGATACAGGTCCTCGATAGAAGGCAGGTTGGTAGTAATTGTTTTTTTCTGCAGTCCTAATTTATTCTCTGGAGTCTGTGCCTGTCTTGTTGGGTTGCAGAACCGAACCAGACCATTATAAAGGTGCAGAGGACGGACTCAATCTCTGTAGAACTGGATCAGCGGCTCCTTTTGGGGCAGTTTGAGCTTCCTGCGTTGGCGCAGGAAGAAACATTCTTTGTCCCAGATGGCAGCCCTCCATCCCTCCACCCCAGGGGGCAATCCAGCCAGGGGATCCTGTAGATTCCCTATCCAGTCAGCATCTCAGAAGCCCCCTACCCCAGGCACCGTATAATTGCCACCCACAGAGCAAGCACACACCCTGCTAGAGGGGACTTCCCTGGGGGTGGCCTCCAGCAAGAGTCCAAAAGCCCGGAAGACAGAACCTCTGGTCCCAGTCACCGACCCAGATTGGATCCTGCAGGTATGTATTAAAGATACGCTTAACGTTGACGTCCGGTGGGGGGGTCTTCTGTCTAGATGGCCTGGCCAAGAAGTTTGGGCTGACCCCCGAGCAGTTCGGAGAGAATCTCCGGGACAGCTACCAGCGCCATGAGACCGAGCAGTTTCCCGCAGAACCCCTGGAGCTGGCTAAGGATTATGTCTGCAGGTGAGGGGGTCCTGCTCCCCGGGGGTGGGGGGGCGCTCCCTTCCTTTGGTCTCCTTGGGGCAATCTGAAAAATCTCGCCTCCTCTTCTCCCCCCACCAAGCAGCATTTCTTCCCTCCATTTTAGGGAGCTTGAGGGAAATCTTGAGTTGTTTTCTGATGCCTTGGATTTGAACCTTGGCCCCGGGAGGGGAGGGCGTCAGGCCGGTGTGGAGTGCTTTGGCTAGGTACAGGTGGATCAGGTTTCCTTTGCACCTGCGACCGGATCCCCTTTCCAAAAGCAAAACCCCATCTCACCTGTGCCTCATTTTTTTCCCCCAGTCTATACGATCACTTAAGGCAGGGGTCTCCAAACTTGACAGCTGTAAGACTTATGGACTTCAACTCCCAGAATTCCTCCTCCTCCTCCTCCAGTCATGTTAGCTCAGGAATTCTGGGAGTTGAAGTCCACGAGTCTTAAAGCTGCCAAGTTGGAAGACCCTTGGAATAAAGGATAGAATAAGAATAGAATAGAATAGAATAGAATAAGAATTTGAATAGAATTGAATAAGAATTTTAGATTAGAATAGAATATAGAATAGAATAAGAGTAGAGTAGAATAAGAATAGAATAGAATAAGAATTTAAGAATAGAATAGAATAGAATAGAATAGAATAGAATAGAATAGAATAGAATAGAGAATAGAGCAGGGGTCTTCCAACTTGACAGCTGTAAGACTTATGGACTTCAACTCCCAGAATTCCTCCTCCTCCAGTCACGTTAGCTCAGGAATTCTGGGAGTTGAAGTCCACAAGTCTTAAACTGGCCAAGTTTGGAGCCCCTTGACCTAAGGGTTCTTCTGAATTTGGCTTTGGCTTTTATCAAATTCTGTTTCTCAACCGCCACAACGTTAAGAGGGATGGACTTCAACTCCCAGAACTCTCCAGCCAACTCTGCTATAAGACTTCAACTCCCAGAATTCCCCTGCTTTGAGGTGGTCAAACTTTATAATTCCCAGAATCCCCAAAGCCAGCTGTGCTTTAAGAAGGGTGGGCTTCCACTCCCAGATTCCCCAGCCAGCTGTGCTTTTAGAGGGGTGGGCATCCATTCCCAGAATTCCCCTGCTTTAAGATAGGTGAACTTTGAATTCCCAGACTACCCCAGCCAGGATGGTTGTACAATATGCCCACTTCCACTCCCAGAACCCCCCAGCCGGGGAAATCCTGGGAGTTGAATTCCACCCCTCTATTAATAGGCAGGGAATCTAATTCAAGTTTCATTTGCTGCCTTTTTTTAAAACAAGGACCCTTCCGTCTTCTGGGCCACCAATCCCTTCCCTCTGTATTTGTCTTCTGCGAGCTCCGTCCAGCGGTCTGAGAGCAGAAGAGCAGATTGTAGATAAAAAGGCGGAAAGGGTGGGTGGGGGGCTTCCGGCGGAGGGTCCGGTGGCGAATAACTCCCCCCCCCTTTTGCCTCTGACGTTTGCAGCCAGTTCCCCACCCCCGAGGCCGTGCTGGAAGGGGCCTGCTACATGGTGGCCCTCCAGATTGCCCGAGAGCCCCTGGTCCGGCAGGTGCTGCGCCAGACCTTCCAGGAGCGGGCTAAGATCAACGTGGCCCCCACCAAGAAGGGCAAGAAGGTACGACTGGGGTGGGTGGGGGGAGGCTGGGGAGGGGGCCCTGGGGGCCTTCGGTATTTTCCAAACCACCAGAAGGCAGGACAAGAAACAACAGATGGAAACTTAAGGAAAGTCAGCAGCAACCTGGAATTAAGGAGAAACTTCTGAACAGGGAGGACAGTTAGCCAGTGGAACAGCCTGCCACCAGAGAAATCCTAGGCTCTCCATCAGTGGAGGCTTTTAAGACGAGTAGACAGTCCCTGAAATATGATAGGTTCTCCTGCTTGAGCGGGGGGGGGGCTGGGCTGGAAGACCTCCAGGGTCCCTTCCAGCGCGTTCTATTCTGAGCAGTCACAAGAACGGCCAAGGGAAGCCTGCAGCCCTGACCAGCGGCTCTGTTGTTGCTGGCTGGGAGGTGCTTTGGGGGATACCCTGCATCCGGAACCCACAGCTGGTGGGAAGTGGGGGGGCGCAGGGGGTGATAGAGCCCCCCACCCGCCCCCACTTCGGTGCCGGTGACTCGGAGCGAGCCGCGCGACCTCTCCCTCCCTGCAGGACGTGGACGAGGCCCACTACGCCTATTCCTTCAAGTACCTGAAGAACAAGCCGGTCAAGGAGCTGCGGGACGAGCAGTTCCTGAAGATCTCGCTGGCCAAAGAGGAGAACCTGCTGACCATTGACATCTCCGTGGACATGAAGGGCGTGGACGGGTGAGTCGGGCCGGCGGGCGGCCGCGGGGGGGGGGGCCCTCCCGCTGGGCCCCCCGCCCTTCCTCGGCCTGACCCCAGCCCTCCCTTGCAGCTACGGCAGCGACCAGAGCTACTTCGAGGAGATCAAGGCCTTCTACTACCGGGACGAGTTCAGCCACCAGGTGCAGGAGTGGAACCGCCAGCGCACCCTGGCCATCGAGCGGGCCCTGCGCCAGTTCCTCTACCCGCAGATGGCCAAGGAGCTCATGAACAAGCTCCTGCTGGAAGCCAAGGAGTGCGTCGTGAAGGTGGGTGCGGGGCGGCAGCGTTTGAGGGGGGGGCCGGAAGCGGGGGCTTGGTATGGCCTGGCGGGGGGGGGGGGAAGCCACCCGGAGTCGCTCGAGACGGCGAGCAGGTGGCATCCATCCTTTCACACAAGCTGCCCTCAACGATCGAGCCTCGATTCCCTCTCCTGGTAAATGAGGCCTTTATTTCGTTTTGCCCTATTTTACGACCTGCCTTGCCGCAGCCGTTGAGTGAATCGCCACCGTTGTTCAATGAGTAACCCGGTCGTTAAGGGGATCTGGCTCCCCCGTTGGCTTTGAAGGCCAGAAAGTTGCAACTGGTGCGCATTTGCGACGGTAGTGAGTCCCAGAGCAGTGCTCAGGGGACACCTCCCTCCCCCCCAAAAAAGGAAGTCAACAGGGAAGCCGGATTCGCTTAACGACCGGGTTCCCAACTTGAACAGCCGCAGGGATTCATGTAACCGACAGGAGGAGAAAAGTCGTAAAATGCAGCAAACCTCAAACTGAACGAAGGTCTCGTTTAGCAACGGGAATTCCGGGCTTGGCGATCCTAAGTTGGGGGGGCGGGGAGTCCAACTCCATTTCATTGAGGACCCCATGGGGGGGGTGTTTGACCTTGGGGGATCGGGTGGGGAGGGGGCTGCCCGTGGCCTGTGGCGGCATCAAGCGCTTTGCCAGCAGAAACGGCGCTCCGTTTTCACCGGCAGATGGGGTTGCAGGAGGCCGTCGTGGCTGGAAACAGCCCGGCTGGCACAGACCCCCGGGGGCCGCTCTTGGGCTGTTTCCAGGGCGCCCCTGCAGGCCAGGTCCAGCCTGGGGGGTCTTGAGTTCGACACCCCTTCCTAAGTTGAGGACCACCTGTAAATTAAACTTCATTAAACGAATTGAAATCGTTACAGTGAATTGTGACTTCTTTTTTTTTTTAAGAAAATTTTTTATTTTAACAACAGAACAACACAGACATACCACATAAAACATAAAAATATCATCCTCCTTCATAAATTTACAAACAGTGCATCGGTTGGTTTACCTTTTTTTTTTGTGCATCCATTTCCTATAATTATATCACATAATAGCTCATATTATCAATCAATAATTGTATAACCTAATATCATCACTATAAAAAAATCATTTATAATTTTGTTCATTCGTATTTTAACGAGATAACTATAGTTTACTTGTGATTTTAAATTACTAAATTAAATTTGATGGAATTAAACTAACCCCTCGCCAACCGCCCCCCTCCCCCCGCCCCCCCGGTTCCTCCGACCAGGCCTGTAGCCGGAAGCTGTACAACTGGCTGAAGGTGGCGCCTTATCGGCCCGACCAGCAAGTGGAGGAAGACGAAGATCTCATGGATGAGAACCAAGGGAAGGGCATCCGGGTGCTGGGCATCGCCTTCTCCTCAGCCAGGTACGGGCGGGAGGGCCGGGGCGGGGCGGGGCGGGGTGGGGGGAGGCCCAGGTTCGGGGTGGCCCCTCGGTCTCTGCCCCGGACTCAGCCAGCCGCCCCTTTTTGCAGGAACCACCCTGTCTTCTGCGCCCTGCTGAACGGGGAAGGCGAAGTCACCGATTTCCTGCGCCTGCCGCATTTCACCAAGAGGAGGAACGCCTGGCGGGAGGAAGAGAGGGAGAAGAAGGTGAGCCCCGGGGAAGGGCGGGGGGGGGAGGGTCATCTTACTCCCAGGATTCACCTGGTTTGCCACCAGGAAGGAAGCGGAGCTGCAGCACCACCTGTGTCTTTGTTTTAGAACGGGGGTGTCCAAGTTTGGCCGCTTTTAAG